ATTTGCTGGGTCATGTGGGTGGAGCCAAAAAAGTCCCCCAATGAGCAGCTCTGTGGTCTGAAAGGGCAGGGAAACAGCCCAATGAGCATCACCGCAGAGGAGCCAATCAGCTAGAAGTTGCTGGGGCCGCTGTGAGCCAATCATCAGCTGGCAGTCTGAAAGTTTGCTGGGGCCCCTTCGACTGTGGCTCTCAACAGTTATATATATAATTGCTTAAAACTGTCATCCTCTTGTTGGTTTTAAATTTTAATTGGAATATACCCTTTGTACTTGGATATGGGGCCCAATATTACAATTCAACATATGTATATAGCATGTTGGGATCAAAGTAGGTTAATTTCCATCGTCCCCAAAGTTTTCATTTTACCTTGGAAACTTCTCTGATTACTTTAAGTTTTATAAGTAAATATTATTGACTGTACTCACCCTATTGTGCTACAAGTCCTGGGCCACTTTTCCCTCTTAACTCTTTTTGGCACTCCACAACCACCATCTATCTCATTTTCTAATCATAGATCTAGGAAGTTTTCTCTTCACAACTTTTGTGTGATCAACCTTTTCAGTTCCAAAGCATGAGTTTCAGCATGCAATATTTGTGGAAAATGAAAACTCTCTGCTACCATTAATAAAGGACAATATTTTCCCCAAGTAATGATCAGTAAAGTGACAAAATTTTCTGCATTCACTCATTCAGTGTTTTGGGGTTGTTCTCATAATAAGTCCAGAAAAAAGATTAGAATATAGAAATAAAATGTCCATATGTTTCCAAGTTTTTCTGGATTACATTTGATCAGCAGTACTACATTGTTTTATTTTGTGATATCAATGTATATACAAATGGCATATGCTTATTCTTACAAATTGATTTTATATATGTCAAATATTTATGGGTATTTTTATGGTATAATTTTAAATATATTTATATTAGCATTGATAAATAACTTTTAAAATGTTTTAGGCCATGGAGAGTTGTCTGAGCCAGGAGATTTCCAAGTTAAAATCCAGTCACAGTAGCTTAGCAAGGCCTTAAGCAATTAAGCAAGACCCTGCCTAAAGATAAAAAATGACTGGGGCTGTGACTCAGTGTTTAACATTAATGTGACTTCAATTACTGGTATAAAAAAATTAAAATCGCCCTCTTTCAACCACAACAAAAGAGTGTATCATGAAACAAAACCAAAAAAATGCATTATGTGACATACAGGATGTCCTTTAAATTTTTTTAAACATTTGAACCTTGTAAAAAACAAGCACGAAAACACTCATTGAATGAAATGTTTTAATCACCTGTGTCAGAAGGCCATTGTGTGACTTTAAGCTCAGTGTTACTGAGAAATCTGCAGTCCTCCAAACAGAAATAATGAAAAGCAGTAGTGTATAGTGCCATGAGTTTGCACATACTCAAAAATGTATGGATTTGTTTCTTCATTGCCTAAAAACCAGTGGAAACTTGTTTTCTGAAAGTGAATTGCTGTATTAGTAACAGGAAAGCTTAGACTCTTTCCTGATGTCTGCACGAAATCAAGGGCCACAATTTGCTGTAATCCTAAGCACAGTTATTCTCTCTCCATGTAGTGCCCAGAGAAACCCCAGAAAAAAAATGCTTTTCTAGTCATCCAGCTGTCTCCAGTTTTGAACTATAATCATGTCAGCAAATACTGCACATCAAGTATATATGATTAAAATTATGTAAGTATATCACAGTGGTAATGTAAAGAATGTTCTATAGTATTGTCCACGCTGATGAACCACTGTTTGGGAAAGCATCCTGGGGAATGAGAACCATTCATAAAGGGGAGCTAAGGAAAATCCTGTGGCACCAACCATCCCTTCTCTGGTCCATCTCAATCACACCTGGAACAGCACACCTTAGGTGATCAGAGGACAAAATACAAGCTTTTTGCCATCATTGGGGAGACTGGAGAACCCCTCCTCAATAAGGGTCTTACGGTTGATGCTGCCAATTTGGTATCTTGATGCCCTCTTGTATCAGCACTAATATTGTACTTTATGCATTTGAGAAATCAAGCTGCCCCCAGACTTGACATTCTCTGGGGAAGGACATATAAATTACAGTGACTATAACTTGAATTTGTGAAATAGGTCACCCTTGATGAATCCATATCTGGTAAGAGGATGGAAAATCTAAGTAAGTAGATGAGTAGAACACATTACCTATATTTTTTAAAAAAGAAATGTCCACAAATTACAGAACTTTCATTTGTTAATGCTCATAGTAAAGACTTGGGGACCCTCATGGTGAAGACTCCCTTTACATCTAGATCATGGAAGCAGTCCTGCTAGAAAATGTGCAGTCATCAATACCATGGGTGGCTCATGATACATACATCATCATACATGTTACCTTAAACTACTGAGAACTGCTCAGGTGGTGAATATGAGCTGGAGGTCAGGACACAAGTGAGAGACTTACAGGAGGAGAATACCCCCTACAAAAATCACTGAAAGTTTGCCTTCTTAGGACCTTCAAATTCCAGGTTGAAGGAGTGAAGGGAGCACACATCTGTTCTCTCCTCTGCAGTTTCAGCATCATCCTGCCTCTCTCTCAAGGAAAAGATGACAGAGAAAACCTATTACTTACTCACCACTAAATTATGCATGAATTTTCATGATCACACAGCTCCACTTCATTGTTGCAATCTTCCCCATCCTCCCTTCTATTCATTAAGATAAAAATGGAAAAAAAAAGGGATGAAGCAGGTAAGATTAGTCCTACTTCAAGCAATTGGGTTTGGAGCTGAGGTCAATGCAGGCAGCACTTTCTACCTCGTGGCACTTCTTGTGCTGGAAATCTATGAACACATGGAGAGATGACTGGCACCTCAGGGAGGGCAAAACCATTGCCCAGCAGATGTTAGTCCTGTGAGCACATCTTTTGTGAGATACAGAGAATCTAGCAACATGATGAGCAAAACTCTGCACAAGGTTTTGGCAAATGAATGGCAGCTCTTTGTGAGAAATAGAGATGAGAATTATCAGTCTACTTGTGAATTGTCAGAGTTGCAAAGGACAGCCTGGGATTCGCAATTAGAGCTATGGGGTTTATATTACCCCATTTTAACTTTCACCTGAGAAAAGCCACTAGAAGTGAAAGTGTTCTTTTAAACTAAAGAAACAGTAATCCCCAGAGGTGCTTCTTCACAGACCCCAAGCTGTCTGTCACTACTAGAAAACCCAAGCAGTCCTGCAGAAGGGTCCTTATTCCTGACTGATGTAGGGATGGACGATTCAAGTCCTGATTTCCTGCTCTACAGTGTTGGCTTTCCTGTCTGATTTTACCCTTTGAGTTTTAGTAACAAGAAAATGATACAGGTTGACATTTAGCTAGTCATGCTACAGATATGAAAAAGTGAGTTTTGGAAAAAAAATCTAAAATGTAGATACTGTTATCATGGTAGGGTGGGATTTGACTGACCTAAATGTTCTTCTAAACAAAATTAGATTCAAAGGTTTCCAATCTAACAGAAATTGAAAAGGGTATTCACCTTTAGTGACCAAATCATAAAGGACTCTTGAACACAAATATTCTTCCTCCAAACTATTCTGAATTATATTCCTGGGTGTTTTGGAACCAGTAATGGGAAACTACCAGCCTATTCATTTTATTTTTTAAAATATTTAATGTACATTCAAAACTTATCATCATTGCCCTCTCATTTGACATTTCATAACTGATAGAGTACAGTGTAAGGGAAATTTTAATTTGTGAAATTAAATTGAATGTAAACATTCTTAGAAGAAAATATCCTCATTGCACCATGAGGACACAGTCCTCTGGGCTCAGTAGGGCTGTTGAGCTGATGTCTCCTGCAGCTACCAGACACGTCACTAAAAGGCTCAGATTCCCTCCTTCCACAGCTTTTCTAGGGCCACCCAAACACTAATTCAGCATCTGAGGACACAGAGGCACTTATCCAGATGGCTGAGGCAGGGAAGGACTCTGTGCAGTTGAGACGCACCTAAAGAGATGTGAGGTTTTAGGAAAGGATGTCTTTAAGTCCTGTCTCTTCAGGGATGTAATTTTAATGTCTGCAAAGGTGACAAGATCCCACTGGAGAACACAGAACTGTGGCTTCCCCAGTGGAACATGTCCCCTGTCTCATAGTTTTACTTTCTTCTCTGGTGGATAACAACAGTCCTGGGAGAGCTGGGCCCCAAACTTTTCTCTAACTTCCCTGGACACTTCAGGAGAGAGATCTTGATTGGGTTCATGTTCCCGTYATATTGACAAGCCCAGTTACTCTCATTCTGATCTTGAGGTCAAATGAGTTCAAACCATTCCACAATTGATCTTGCTTCCATTTTGGGGTGATGGAGTCTTGCACCCCTCAGGATTTCCCAGTGGCTCCGAGGGTCCTCACCTTACAATGTGTGATGGGCTCTCTCCCCCTTGTCTTTTTTCTCACATAGAACATCCTGTTTTTGTGTACTGTTGACAGAACAGTGCCTTTGTTTTATGTTAGGACCAGGGTCTCTGTTTTAATGCTGAAGTCCTTGTGCCAGCAGTCTGTCATGATATTTTCTTTTTCATCACAATTTTTAGTAATTTGAGTTTTTTCATTCTTTGTTAACTTGGCTAAAGGTTTATCAATTTAGTTTATTTTTTCACAAACTTTTTTTTAAATTTGTTGAATTTTTCTTATGYTTCAATTTTATTGATTTCAACTCTGATTTTAATTATGTTGCCCCCTACTGTTGTTGGTGTATAATTTGTTCTTCTTTTTCTAGGACTTTGAGATACAATATTATTTTTTTATTTGGCTATTTTCTATTCTTTTAATGAATGAGCTCAATGCCATAAATTTTTCTCTTAGAACTGCTTTCATAGTGTCCCAGAAATTTTTATATGTTGTATCATTATTCTCATTTCTAAGTATTATTTTTATTTTATCTATGATTTCTTTTGCCATCCATTCATCATTCAATAGTGAATTATTTAGTCTTCAGGTGGTAGAGTATGTACTATTTTTATTTTACATTTGATTTCTATTTTTTTTCCATTATGATCTGATAAAATGCAGGGTAGTATCTCTGTTTTTTTGTTGTTGTTGTTATTGTTGTATTTGCTACTATTTGATTTGTGGCATAACATATGGTCTATTTTGGGGAAGGATCCAGGTACTGCTGAGAAGAAAGTGTGTTTGCTTGTTATGGATGGAATATTCTATATATGTCTGTTAAGTCAACATATTAATTGAATTATTGACTCCTATAGTTTCTTTGTTTAGTTTTTGTTGTGAAGATCTATCCAGTGGTGAGAGAGATATATAAAAGTCACCCAGTGTTATTGTGTTGTGATCTTTTTGTTCTTGTATTTGAGAAGGATTTGTTTGACCATTTTTTGAAGCATAGATATTTATGGTTATTATGTCTGGTTGAAGTATGAATTCTTTAAGCAGTATGAAATGTCCTTCTTTATCTGTTTTCACTAGCTTTGGTTTGAAGTCCACTTTATTTGATATGAGGATGGAAAAACCCTGCTTGTTTACATGGTACATGCGAGTGGTGTACTTTTACCAACACTTTAAGCTTAAATCTGTGGATGTCTTTTCCTGTGAGATGAGTCTTTTGAAGGCAACATATTGTTGTTTTTTAAAAATCCAATCTGTCAGTCTATGTCCTTTTTAAATTCTTGATAGACCTTTATTTTATTTATTTATATGTGGTGCTTAGAATCCAACTCAGTGCTTCACACAAGCTATGCACCAAGCCAGAACCCCAGCCCTAGTCTATGTATTTTAATTGATGAGTTTAGACCATTTAYACTTAGGGTTATTATTATAATATGAGTTGTATTCCTGGACATTTTGGTTTATTTTTTTTAACTTGACTTGGTTTCTCTTTGATTTCCCTTTCTTTTAGTGTGGTTCTGCCTTTGCTGATTTTCATTGTCATTTTTCATTTCCACTACCTGGAATATTATACTGAGCATGCTCTCTAGTGTGGGCTTTCTCACTGTGAATTCTTTTAACTTTTGTTCATCATGAAAGTTTTTTTTTTAATTTCATCATCAAATCTGAGGCTTAATTTTGCTGAATATAAGAGTCTTGGTTGGCATCTTTTTTTTTTTTTTCCAGAGCTTTGTATATGTTGTTCCACAATCTCCTGGCTTTGAGGGTCTGGGTTGAAAAACGTGTTGAGATCCATATTGGTCTCCCCCTATGTGTGATCTGATTCCTCTCTCATGGTCTTTAAGAATTTTTTAATATTTATTTTTTTAGTTTTCAGTGGACACAATATCTTTATTTTATTTTTATGTAGTGCTGAAGATCAAACCCAGCACCCTGCGCATGCCAGGTGAGCGCACTACTGCTTGAGCCACATCCACAGCCCCAAGATTTTATTCTTGTTCTTTATGCTAGGAATTTCCATTATAATGTACCTTGGTACATATCTGTGTTGACTTTTTACATTTGGTGTCCTGTAAACCTCTTGAATTTGGTTTTCTAATTCATCCTTCATGTTTTAGAAATTTTCTGATATTATCTCATTGAAGAGATTGTGCATTCCTTTGGTTTAAAATTCTATTCCTTCCTGTAGCCTAATAATTCTTAGATTTGTTCTTTTGTTGCTATCCCATATTCTTGGATGTTCTGGTTTATTACCATCTTCACTGTGTGGTTAACTTTATTTTCCAGATTATATACTTTGTCTTTATTAACTGATGTTCTGTCTTACAAATGATCTAGTGTGTTAGTGATGCTTTCTATGGAGTTTTTTATTTGGTTTACTGTTTCCTTCATTTCAAGGATTTCTGAGTCTTTTTCTTTTCAAAATCTCTTTCTTGAAGTAACCTTTTGCTACCTGTATTTGTTCCCTTATCTCTTTGTTGGAGTGATCAATTTTTTCCTGTATTTGCTCATTTAGGTCCTTCTGCAATTCATCCATCATTTTAATTATATAGATTATGAACTTATCCTCTGACATTTTATTGACTGTGTTGTCCTTGGGTTTTGTTATCATAGTATCCTGGTTTGTTTGGTGCACTTTGTTTCCTTATTTTTTTTTTTCATGTTGTCTATGCGTCTTTCTTTCCTGCAGTGAGGATCTGAGGTATTATAGTTTCTACCGCATGATCTTATAGTGTCCGTGCCGATTATCTATACCTCAACTTGGTTCTGGGCTTTGAGACCCTGGTGGTGTCTCATGATAGATGCTACTGCAATTAAGGTTGGTGGTGGCAATAGTGGAGGTAACTCAAGAGAGCAATGGGGTGTCCCAAGATGGATACAACCTCTTACAGAGATGGGGCTGAAAGGACGGGCTTTACACTGGCTTTGGATGCCTGTTCCAATGCAGCTGCTTCTAGGCTCTGTCTGTTGTCACAAGGTGGTGGCTACTGTATGTTGAGGGCCATGTCCCCAGATGGAGGTAGGTTAGGCCTGGGATCCCTGTTGGGCCAAGGGGTGGACCTGCACCTAACCTGGCCCTGGATTTTCTCACAGGTTGGAGGAGGCAGTCCTTAGCTGGGACCTGGGCTCTGGCATGGTTCTGCCTGTTGGCTAGGTGAATCCAGGCCACCTGGGCCTGGGCTCCCACATAGGCCAGCAAAGAACCAGGTTGTGGCTCCTTGGTTTTCTCTATTAGTATTCTGATTTCAATTTCATTCAATTTTGTTTTAATTTGTATCATTATTTTTCTGTTGCTTACTTTGAATTTAATTTGCTTTCCATCTTCTGATTTCCTAAAGTGGGAGTTTAGATGATTGAGTTTAGATTTCCTTTTCCAATATGTACATTGAGTTCCAAAAATTTACTCATAGATACTGATTTTGCTACATATCACAAATTTTGATAAATTACTTTCCCATTTTCTTTTAGTTAACATTCTTTTCTCGATTT